CCGGCCATGCTGAGGCTGCGTCCCACATACAGCAACTAGAAGGATGTGCAACTATGACATACAACTATCTACTGGGGCTTTGGGGAAAAAAAAAAGAGGAGGATTGGCAATAGATGTTAGCTCTGAGCTGGTCTTCCTCAGCAAAAAGAAGAGGATTAGCACAGATGTTAGCTCAGGGCTGATCTTCCTCACAAAAAAATAAATAAATAAATAAAACTGTTTAAAACAACTGTCACTTATGCTAAAATGAAAATATGACTATCTAAATAGAGATATGCCTAAATGCAAAATGTAACTATCAGATATTGTTCAATTCTTTACGCAAAAATTAATAGAATATATACCAGTGTGTTTAATACTGGGTATGTTCCTCTTCCTCAACCCCTAAACAACAAATTTTCCTTTGTTCTAGTCAACTTACAAGAATTAAAAGCTTGTTCATATGTTATAAGAACTAGTAGTCCACCAGTAGGTAGAAGCAAAACTAGCATAAGTCTATGCCTCAACTTCCCAACTATAAACTATAACATTTGCCCAGCCTACATTTAAAGGTTGTAAATGGGACTAAAATCCATGTTTCCCTGACTCTCAACCCAATATTCTTATTTTCTTCTCCTTCAAATATGAGCAGAATTGGCTGGTCTGCATCAAACTTCATTGATACAGAAATCCATCTACTATTATGCACCGGAGTCACAATGTCTTTATTTATTTATCTTAAATAAAATGAGTTGTGTGGTGCATCTGCAGATACACAGAAACAGGGCTGTGTGCAGAAGGAATGTTTTGTGAATGCTAAGGTTGCTGTAGCTTAGGGAGTAAATTCTATGTTCACTTTTTTTTTTAATTATACTCTTTTGATATAACCCTTATCAAATGACATTCTTCAAAATGACACACTGGTGTTTTGGGATGTTTTTATGTCTCTCTTTTTCTCTATTATTTGTAAAGAGCACTCCTAGTTGCAAAGAAGTTGAACAAGCCACTAAAGGAAGGACAAGGACAAAGTCTACAGTCTGCATCTATGATTTTACTAAAATGACAGCTCAGTAGGCATCAACTCTCTGAGCATCTGAACAAGGCAAAGGTGGAAAAGGGAGGGGTTTCACTGAAAGATATGGGATACTCTCAAATCCTCCAAGGAAAAGGAGCTGAACTGCAGCAGCTACGACTGTCAAGTACTGTGGACTACTCAGAGCTTTCTCTCTGAGGCCGATGGTATCAGTAGACAACGTGAGGGGCAAGCCCAACTCCTAAAGCCAATATGGTAATGTAGACACCCTTCTCTTACCACTACTCATTCCCAGACTATTTGTCACGTTCAGCAGATCCCATAACCCTCTGATGGAATAGCTGTTACATGCTTTTCCCTTCCTCCCCCAATAAATTTCACTTCAAAAGCCCCTGAAGATTCCTTGATTTCCAAAAGCCTGCCATGCCTAGCTTATTAAAGTAAAATGACAAATGTCCACATCTCTGACATACGCTCCTGTCCTAGGCAGGAATTGGAGGTACGGACCTTTCCTCTCTGCCTTGTCCAGTCCAAGACCCAGGATCCAAGCTATCCATTGTGCTCTTCCCAGATCAACTTTTTTTTAATATATATATATATATTTTTTTATTGATGTTATAATGGTTTCTAACATTGTGAAATTTTGGGTTGTACATTTTTGTTTGTCCATCACCATATATATGACTCCCTTCACCCCTTGTGCCCACCCCCCACCCCCAACCCCCACTGCCCCTGGTAACCACAGTCCAGTTTTCTCTGTCCATGTGTTGGTTTATATTTCACATATGAGTGAGATCATACAGTGTTTGTCTTTCTCTTTCTGGCTTATTTCACTTAACATAATACGCTCCAGGCCCATCCATGTTGTTGCAAATGGGACGATTTTGCCAGATCAACTTTTAATTGCAAATTCACTGAAGGTAAAGTACAACTAAACAACTATCATTTGACTTCTTTGAACCCAATTAAGGAGGCAGTCATCTCTCCTAGATCATTAGCCCCTCCAAATCCTGATGCTTAATAAATTGTTGCTTCATTAAAATAACCGCCAGGCTCCAACTGTTTTGAAGCCAGTCTGACAGGCAGAACTCCAGTAAAACCACACTAGTTCTTGCACAGGGCAGGGGTCAGGAAGTGCTCTTCTCCAAATCATCCCATAGTTTATCATTTTAGAAAGACAAAAATATGTGTATAATGATAATCAGTAAATGCAAGCATATCGTAGAGAAAAAAGATACTTCATCTAAAAGATAACAGGCTAAGACTCTTCTCGGATGCAGACCCTGGAAGGCTGAGTTTTGGCGAGATGGCTGGGTACAAAGCACTAAGGTGTTTGGGGTCGCTTACTTTTCTCCTCGACGTTTTTCCTTTCCTCACCACTTTCAGAGCAGCACTAGAAGCAGAAGAGGCGTGACAAACACATTAAGACTGACGTGGTAGATGGAACTCATACAGGGCTCCCAGAGGGCATCCACTGGAGGACTGCGAGGTCCCAGGCCCCTTCCCCTGGGGCCTTCGTGAAGGGCCAGGGCCGTCTGACGCAGGTTCTAAAACGGGCCACCTCTCTGGGGCCACCACTGCCATCCTGCCCGTCCGCCAGGGCCACCTCCCCACAGAGATCTGTGTCATCTCACCGGGGTCGCCGGAGCCACTGCATTGGGACTACCTCCCCTGGGAGGTCTGTGCCACCTCACCAGGATTGCAAGGGCCACCTCCCCCGGGCCACGGGAACCACGTCCCCAGGTGCCAGGGTCACCTCACCAAGAGAGTCTCCCCTAGGAGATGTGCCACCTCACTGGGCCACCAGTGTCCCCTCCCCGGGCCACCAGCGCCGCCTCACCGGGGTTGCCGACGCCTCGCGGATCTCGCCGGGCGGGAGCATCCCGCCTCCGCGAGAGTCCTCTGCTCCATGCGCAGCCAGCGTGGCTGCGTGGTCCAGCTCCCGCCAGCGACCAGCACCAGCTCCGCCTCGGAGACTGCGGGGCTGAGTGCCACCGCGACTTCCTCTCGCCGTCTCTCTCGTTTCTTCCTCTCCTCCCAGAAAGGCCCTGCCCGCGCCGCCGCTGGCCGTGCGCGGTGGCTCCCCCTGCCGGCCGGGGGACGTCGGCCGCTCCGGAAGAGGGGGGGCGATCCTTCTCAACCTCGGTGAAACATACTCCTCCTCGTTGGGGCCCTTAATGATGGAGCTTGAAGGTATCTGTCCTTCCACACCAGAAATTCAATATGAATCATTTCATTTGTATTTTAGATGATATCCCAGATGTTCTGAGAGTGTGAGGGGGCTTGTTGATCAGCTTTAACGTAATTTGGTCGGGCTGTTTACTTGGGGAATTTCCAATGTCGTTATCTTTGGATCATTCTTTTAAGGCTTGTCAGATTCAACTAGAGATGACCCTCCAATTGCCTGTGTGGAGGGTGCAGATCTGGTTGTAACCGTTCTGGGAGCTGAATCGAGGAAAAGGACTCGGCATCTAAGAGGCACTTTGCACAGTGCAGAGACCCCAATACACCTGTTCTTTGCCAGGGAGAAGGAATAGAGTTACCTGGCAGCCAGCAAGGGGTAGGTAGAGCACCCAGGGATTTGACAACTTCAAAAACAAACGTGAAAGGAGATACCATAGAGACTAAATCAAGTAGCGGGCGTGGGGGCAACCCTTAGAAGAAACAGAAACCGTTCAGTGGGGAGAAAACTTGTGTGTGCATTGTGCAAGATGACATGAGTGGAGCCATATTAAAATAGAGCCAGAGCAGCCATTTCAGAGGAATTGCCTTGCATGGCTTGTTTTCTTTTATCTTCAGAACTGGACCAAACCACCAACATTCCAAAGAAGTCTGTAAGGACAAGGATACCTTGTCTGTAAGAACTGGTGGAACTGGACTTTGCTGGTGCCTAAATCGCTAACCAATCAATGAAGTACAAGTTTAGCGTTTTGTCTGATGATTGAACCTCAGGCCAATCTATGAAGTACAAACCCAGCCTTATCTTATCTAGCACCAATGAACTCTTCTTTAATACAACTCACCTTTCCTCCCTTTTTCCCATAAAAACCCTAAGCCCTCTTCTATAATCAGGACACTATTTGAGTTTCTACCTGAATCTGTGCTCCCGAATTGCAATTCTTTGATCCCAAATAAATGCTTTGCCTTTTAAATTGGTTTCTGTTTTTGTAGATTGACTATATATATATAAAATCAATATCCTGAGATATGAAATACCATTGCAACCATAAAATAATAAGAGGATACTACTGTAATTTATTTATTTATTTGTGAGGAAGATTGACCCTGAGCTAACGTCTGTGCTAATCTTCCTCTATTTTGTATTTGGGACCCTGCCACAGAATGGCTTGACGAGTGGCATGTAGGTCCACACCCGGGATCCAAACCTGTGAACCCTGGACCTCCAAAGTGGAGCACACCAACTTAACTACTATGCCACCAGGCCAGCCCCAGGATACTACTACTGTATTTAAAAAGGAGTGTTCAGAGACAAAATATATGATATCTGAAATGAAAAATTCAATGAAAAGGTTCGAAGATAAATGTTGGGAAATATCCTAGGGAAAAAAATCAAAAGGACAAAAAAATGGAAAACAGGAAAAGAACAATAATAAATTAGAGGACCACTCCAGGGAGTCCAAAATCTGAAAAATAAGAATTCCATAAGAAAAAACCAACAGGGGTTAGGGAAGGAGTGAGCATCAACAAAACAATTCAAGGAAATTTCCCTAAACTAAAAGCCCTGAGTTTCCAGACTGAGAGGGCCCACTGAGTCTGCAGCACAATGGATAAAAGTCGACTCACCCCAAAGGCTCATCATTGTGAAATTACAGAACACTGGGGACAAAAAGAAACCTGAAGCTTCCAGAGAGAAAAACAGATCACTAACAAAGGATCAAGAATCAGCATATCTTTCAGTTTTTCAGCAGTCACAAAGAAAGCTCAAAGACATGGGAGCAATTCTATACAATTTCAAAAGGAAATTTATTTCAAACTAGAATTCTGTACTTGATTAGTAAACTACCAATGAAGTGTGGGTAAAGAATAAACGTATGTTCAGACATTCAAGATTTCAAAAAATTTCCCTTTCATTTGCTTCTTTCTCAGGAAGCTACTGGAAGTTGTGCTCCATTAAAATGAGGGACTAAACAAAGAAAGTAGAAAACACAGGCTATAGGAAACAGAAGATACAACACGGGAGAAAAATGAAGTATGATACCCTGACAACAACTGTGCACTAGACATCAACTGGTGTAGGTTAGAAGGTTCCAGAAGAGACTCCTTCAGAAAGATGAAACTGATAGAACACCTATCTATCTAAATCTCTGGAGGGAGAGATTTAAATGATCATAAAGAAGTTTGAGCTTGGCTTAGTGATGAATAGTAAGCCAAAATAAGATAATCATTAACTACAGGAAAAACAGAAAGCTGAGCAGAAGAGAAGTAATCATAGTATACTATTTTGCCCAAGATGTGAGCAATGTTTACCTAGTCATAATGAAGTAAACACAAACCTATGTTTTAAAAAAAGTACAATATAACTATATCGGGCAGATAAAGGGATGGGAAGTGTGGTGGGGGTGGGGGAACAGATGGAAGAAGGAAGAAGAGCTAAATCCTCATTTTCCATTAGGTGAAGTCAATAGGCAATGCCTAAAAGTGAAAAATGAAGAAATAGCAATACAAACATTTTATATAGAGAAATGAAGGTAAATATCAAAATAACCATTGAAAGAGGTGAAATGACTGCCTTTGAGGAGGGGGAAACAGGTAAGGGGAAGAGTGGAGATACAGTCTCTGCTGTTTCATTGCAAAACTTACAAGGTTTCTACAGAATTGTTTGACTCTAAATCATAAACATGTATAACTCTGATTAAAATAAAAACTAAAATTAAAGAAGTAAAAAGATTGCTCTAGACTCAAATTTTTGCTTCTGGAGATTTCACTCCCTGCTAAAGGAATTAGACATGAAAATAAATAATTTAAGATTGAGTGTGACACCAAACCTCTTAATCTCAGGTCCCTGTGCCCAGTGAACAGGAAAAGCCAATCACTGAGACACCAGTCCTTGGAGATAGAGACAGGCTTATTGGAATTGGCCAAAACAAGAAGGCAGGAAAGCAAGTTCTCTCAGATCTGCCTTAACAAAAGAAGAAAACGGGATCTTTACAGGGCTAAGGGGCTGGCAAGGAGGATTTTCAGGGAAACAAAGAGGAAGTCTGTGTTTCTCTCACTTCAGATAAGACCTTGAGCAACCAGACTTCTTGGTGTCACCGGCAGCTGGGGTCTGGTCATCTGGTGGTCGTGACTTCCTTAAAGGCATTCTTTTACTTCTGCAAAATAAGCTCATAAATTCTCGTGACCCTTGAGTCACCCCTTTGGTTAGACAAGAAAACAGCAAGTTAGCAAGCTATAATTACGTGCATGCCATGAAGCAAGCATTTGGACTCCATAAATACATCTAGTGGAGACTAAGGTTATTTATTAACTTCTTTTCATCTGTGGCTGTATTGGGAACGAGGTCGGAACATGTTGGGAACACGTTCTTATGGAATATTTACAGTAACCCTCAGGTACCTGGCTTCAAGTGCAGTAGGTTCAACAATGGAAATGTTTGCAATGACTGAGGGAGCACAGAAAATAGTTACTCTCTGGCGAGAGGAGAGAGGCATCTAAGATGGATGGAATATAGGCAGTAATATGGACGAAACAAGAGATAAATTGTGTGTGCTGGGCACATAGCAATCCATAGTGCTGGTGTGGAGTTAAAAGCAAGATCCAGAATATTATACATGATATACATGTTAGGATGTATTTTTTTTTGGGGGGGGGTGATGAGGATTGGCCCTGGGCTAGCATCTGTGTCCATCTTCCTCTCTTTTATATGTGGGACACCTGCCACAGCATGGCTTGACAAGTAGTGTGTCGGTCCACACCTGAGACTCGAACCAGCGAACCCCGGGCTGCCAAAGCAGAGCACGCGAACTTAACCACTACGCCACCAGGCCAGCCCCATAACATTAAACTGTTAGATGTCTATCAGAAGGAGTTGGAATGGGGAAGAGGCTTTGAACATTTCTGTATTTTTTTGTGTGTGTGTGAGGAAGATTAGCCCTGAGCTAGCATCTGTTGCCAATCCTCCTATTTTTTGCTAAGGAAGATTGGCCCTGGGCTAATATCCGTGCCCATCTTCCTCTGTTTTATATGTGGGATGCCGCCACAGCATGGCTTGATAAGCGGTGCATAGGTCTGCACCCAGGATCCAAACCTGTGAACCCCGGACCACCAAAGCAGAGTGCGCGAACTTAACCACTACACCACCAGGCTGGCCCCCTTTATTACTTTAACTGTAAAAACCAATAAAGAGCTGTCATTTTGGAAGACAGAAAACTAAAACTGCATGTTTCACTTGGACCTTGTCTAAGGCAATTTAGGTTGAAATGCAAAAAGGGTAAGTTTTGACCATGGACCCAGCGAATGGCCAAAGACATGTGAACGTTCTTTCCTCCGTGCACATTTATGAGGAGTTGGGCCACAATCTCAAGAAGATACTTTTTTTTTTTTGGTGAGGAAGATTCACTCTGAGCTAACATCTATTGCCAATCTTCCTCCTTTTTTGCTTGAGGAAGATTAGCCCTGAGCTAACATCTGTGCCCATATCCCTCTATTTTGTACGTTGGTCGTCACACCACGGCATGGCTTGATGAGTGGTGTAGGTCTGTGCCTGGGATCCGAACCCACGAACCCAGACCGCCAAAGTGGAGCATGGCTGACTTAACCACTATGCCACAGGGACAGCCCTCAAGAAGATACTTTTTAAAGTATACAAAAATTAGAAGTTTAGGATTGAATTTTTACTGCGTGGCTGTGGAAAACATATTTGCAGTTGGTGTCACTGGGACATTAACCTATGAATTAACCATAGCCCAAGGACATGTGATTGTACATGCATTAGGGACAGAAAACTATCTGAGGTACTTAATTGAGGTGAATAATCTCAGAGGAAGGCAGTATAGAATGCTATCAGTCTGAGACTCAGTTAACCAGATCCTCACACGTAAACCCAGATTTTAAAAATAAGTCTACAGCTGCTGTGGAAAACAATAAGGGGGATTGCTCAAAAAATTAAAAATAGAATTACCAGATGATGCAGCAATTCCACTTCTGTGTATATACCCAAAAAAATTGAAAACAAGGTCTCAAAGAGATATTGGTACACTCATGTTCATAGCAGCATTATTGACAATAGCCAAAAGATAGAAGCAACCCAAGTGATAATGGGTAAACAAAATATGGTGTATACATATAATAGAATATTATTCATCCTTAAAAAGGAAAGAAATTCTAACACATGCTATGACATGGATGAACCTTAAGGACATTAGGCTAAGTGAAATAAACCAGTCGCAAAGAAACATATACTGTATGATTCCATTTATATGAGTTACCTACAATTGTAAAATTCATAGAGACAAAAAGAAGAAGGGTGATTTCCAGGGGCT